AATCTTGAAACTGTCTGGGCATGGTGGCTCTTGCCTGTAAACCCAGCACTTTGGGAGGGCAAGGCAGGCGGATCCCTTGAGCCCAGAAGTTCGAGATCAGCTGGGCAACATTGCAAAACCCTATCTCTTAAAAAAAAAAAAAAATACAGAAATAAGTTGGGCGTGGTGGCATACACGTGTAGTCCCAGCTACTGAAGGGGTGGGGGCAAGGGAATGGGCTGAGTTGGGAAGAATGCTTGAGCCCAGAGAGGTCAAGACTGCAGTGAGCCGAGACCATGCCATTGCACTCCAGCCTGGGTGACAGAGTCTCAGACTCTGTCTCAAAAATGAAACAAAACAAAACAAAAACAAAAAACAGAGAACTAATAAAGAAGGTAGCTTGATCTCCAGATAAATTCCTTGACTCTGAACTCCTCTGGTGAATGTCTTCGCCATCCAAGCAACAGGCTGGAGGTTTGTTCTCTGGAGAGGATAAAACAGATGTTCTCTAGACTGAGATACCAAACACTGTCAAGGGCACTGGTGATATATGGAAACTAGGAAGGTTAAGTGAACAGCCACCTTCAATATGAAAGACAAAGAACAAAACAATGTGGAGAAAAGGAAGAAAATGAACCCAATATTCTGAGAACAAAGAACTCAATTGAAAGGCTGAAAGATAAAGTTGAGAAAGTCCTCCAGAAGTACATAAAAGACAAAGACGGAAAACAGAAAGATAATATAAAAGGCCTAGTCCAGATACTCTTCAAATTAAATCACAGATTCAACACAGCCTCTATCAAAATTTAAACTGCCGCTAGGTGCAGTGGCTCACACCTGTAATCCCAGCACTTTGCGAGGCCAAGGCAGGTGAATCACCTGAGGTCAGGAGTTCAAGACAGGCCTGGCCAACATGGCGAAACCTGTCTTTACTAAGAACACAAAAATTAGCCAGGTGTGGTGGTGGGAGCCTGTAATCCCAGCTACTTGGGAGGCTGAGGCACAAGAATCACTTGAACCCAGAAGGTGGAGGCTGCAGTGAGCCTAAATGGTGGCACTACACCTCAGTCTGGGCAACGGAGATTCTGCCTCAAAAAAAAAAAATTTCCAACTGCCAGGCCAGGCACAGTGGCTCACGCTTCTAATCCCAGTACTTTGGGAGGCTGAGGTGGGTGGATCACCTGAGGTCAGCCAACATGGTGAAACCTGGTCTTTACTAAAAACACAAAAATTAGCCGGGTGTGGTGGCATGTAACTGTAATCCCAGCTACCTGGGAGGCTGAGGCAGGAGAATCACTTAAATCTGGGAGGCAGAGGTTGCAGTGAGCCAAGATCACGCCATTGCACTCCAGCCTGAGCAAAAAATGTGGAACTCTGTCTCAAAAAAAAAAGGCCAGGCACAATGCCTCATAGCAGTAATCCCAGCACTTTGGGAGGCCAAGGTGGGCAGATCACTTGAGGTCAGGAGTTTGAGATCAGCCTGACCAACATGGTGAAACCTTATCTCTACTAAAAACACAAAAAATTAGCTGTGCATGGTGGTGGTTGCCTATAATCCCAGTTACTTGGGAAGCTGAGGCAGGAGAATCGTTTGAACTTGAGAGGTGGACATTGCAGTGAGGAGGTATCGTGCCATTGTATTCCAGCCTGGGCAACAAGAACGGAACTCTTGTCTGGGGTTGGGGGGAAAAAGGCCAGAAAGTGGGAACAACTCAAACCAGATCTCAGTTTTGGTCTGGATGCTAGGTATGATTATTGCTCTGACATGTGGCATACAATACATACAGTAAGATGGTATTCAGAAACTGATGTCTGGATGCTAGGTATGCTTATTGCTCTTGGGATATCTCTCCCGTGGAGTGATCCATGTGGAGACAAAATGGGTCCCTTGATCCAATAATGCACAAAAACTTAGGTCTCCCAATAACCATGGGGATGAGTTTGGAAGAGGATCATCTAGCCTTCAGACATCTGCAGCCCTAGGCAACAGTCTGACTGCAACCTCAGGAGACTGAGCCAGAACCACCTATTTATTATTACTATTATTATTTTTTTTTTTTTGAGACAGAGTCTCACTCTGTTGCCCAGGCTGGAGTGGAGTGGTACAATCCCAGCTCACTGCAACCTCTGCCTCCTAGGTTCAAGTGATTCTCATGCCTCAGCCTCCCAAGTGGGATTACAGGCGCACATCACCATGCCTGGATAATTTCTTTTTTTTTTTCGGTAGAGATGAAGTTTCACCATGATGGCCAGGCTGGTCTTTAACTCCTGACCTCAAGCCATCCACCCTGGGTGACAGAGTAAGACTCTCTCTCTCAAAAATAAATAAAGCTGTACATATTAAACTATTTATAGCTGATGAGGCAGCATGTTGGCAGCTTCCTCTGACACCGTTTTAAGAAAAAAATATTATTTGTACTGTATGTGCGGCGTTCCTGTAGATTTAAAACTGTTTCAAAATTTTAGAAAGTTAACACAAAACAATGAAAAAGCCCAAAGTTGCTTTATTAGAATTCGGTAATTAAGTGGTATAGTGGATCGAAAAGATATGCATATGTCCCAATCCCTGGGACCTGTGAATGTTACCTCAATTGGAAAGAAGGGCTTTTGGGGATGTAATTAAATTAAAGATCTTTAGACAAGATCATCTTTAGGTTGGCCGGGAGCAGTGGCTCATGCCTGTAATCCCAGTACTTTGGGAGGCTGAGATGGGCGGATCACCTGAGGTCAGGAGTCCGAGACCAGCCCAGCCAACATGGCGAAACCCTGTCTCCACTAAAATACAAAAATTAGCCAGGCATGGTGGTGGGTGCCTGTAATCCCAGCTACTTGGGAGGCTGAGGCAGGAGAATCGATTGAACCAAGGAAGCAGAGGTTGCAGTGTGCCGAGATTGACCACTGCACTCCAGCCTGGGTGACAGAGCAAGACTCCACCTCAAAAAAAAAAAAATCACCTTTGGGTTACATGGATGGGTAAGTTTAATGACAAGTGTCCATATAAGAGACAAAAGAGAAGACACAGACAGAGAAGGTGATACAAAGATGGAGGCAGATACTGGAGTGTTGTAGCCACAAAGTAAAGGAGCCAAGGAATGCTGACAGCCACTGAAGTTCGAAGAGGCAAGGAAGGATTCTCCGATAGAGCATCCAGGGGCAGTATGGACCTGAAGACAAACTGACTTTAGACTGCTGGCCTCCAGAACTGTAAGATAATATAGCTCTGTTAATTTAAGCCACGCAGTTTGTGGTAATTTATAAACTAATACAGATGGTATAAATATGAAAACACTTACTCTAAAGAAAATTACTCACTCTATTAGTGTGCTATTATTTTGAGAAATCTAAAACTCAAGCCAGGCGCAGTGGCTCACACCTGTAATCCCAGGACTTTGGGCAGCCGAGGCAGGCAGATCACCTGAGGTTGGGAGTTCAAGACAAGCCTGACCAACATGGAGAAACCCCATCTCTGCTAAAAATACAAAATTAGCCAGACATGGCAGTACATGCCTGTAATCCCAGCTACTCGGGAGGCTGAGGCAGGAGAATTGCTTGAATCTAGGAGGTGGGGGTTTCAGTGAGCCGAGATCACGCCATTCCCCTCCAGCCTGGGCAACAAGAGCAAAACTCCATCTCAGAGAAAAAAAAAAAGAAACCTAAAACTCATACCATGGAGGCTTTTGTAAAAATCAACTTTGATTTGAAGTTTTCTTTGGTTTTGAGTCAAGGTCTCGCTCTGTCACCTAGGCTGGAATGCAGTGCAGATTACAGCTCACTGCAGTCTTGAACTCTGGACCTCAAGAGATCCTCCCCAACCACCTCAGTCTTTCTAATAGCTATGCCTACAGGCGTGTGCTACCGAACCTGACTAATTTTTGCTGTTTTTGTACAGACCAGGTCTTGATGAATTACTCAGGCTGATCTCCCACCTAGGCCTCCCAAAGCACTGGGATTAAAGACATGAGCCACTGTACCCAGCCAATTTCAAAGTTTTTCCCTGACATAAGCCCTTAAGAAGTTGGCAAAACAATTCTATCACTTATATTGCATGATGCATTACAGGTGGCAGGGTTAGTGCTCAAAGGATAGCAGCAGACACTTCTATAATAAGATGTTTAAGATAACTGATTTCACAATTCTAGACCTACAGAAATATCACGTGTATTAAAAATATACTAAGATGACAGTATTTTGAATTTGCTGAAGAATACTGGGATTCAGTCCCGTTTTCAGTTTAGAAATATTATAAGACCGGAGATTGTGCCATTGCACTCCAGCCTTGGTGACAGAGCAAGACTGTCTCAGAAGAAAAAATAATAAATAAATAAATAAAAGACTTCATTCTTTTCACATTCGAGTTTTTTCTTTTCTTTTTTTGCTTGGGGTGATGATGAAGTAAAATGTGAAACATATATTTAACACTGACACCTAAGATTTCGAGATTATACCAATTCTGTAGGTCAACATTATTACCAAGTCAGGACACCATAACAATATTTAAAAACCTTAAAAAAAAAAAAAAAAAAAAAGTCCAAATCCAAGAAGCCCCTTCTCTCTGCTATGTTCTTCTAGTGCCCTCTATTGACAAAACCCAACATTTTGTTCACTGCAAAGGTCAGAGAGTCCAGTTCTTCACCAGCTCAAATACATACTTCAGAAGTTACTTAATCAAAGCAGGGCAAGTATTGGAGGGCGAACTTGGAGTTGACTAATAGACTGCTAAGTGGCAGAGGTGTTTCACTATTTCTTCCTTTTTATTGGTGGGTAATGCTCCAGTGTATGCATTTTCTACATTTTGTTTATATATTCGGCTACTAATGGATATTTGAGCTGTTTCTAGATTTTGGGTAGAGTGAATAAAACTGCCAAGCACATTTGTAAAAAATAACAACAAAACTATCTTTTATGTAGTCCACAAGTGCTAAGCCCTCTTCTTTATAATCTTTCCCACAAGCTTGCAGGGTATAATTCCCATTCTACAGACAGGGAAACTGAGACTCAAGAAAATTTGCAAAGTGACTTACCTAAGGCCACAACTGCTCCAAAATTCCACTATTTTTTTTTGCCACACCACTTGATATTGGCATTCACTGAACGTTGTTGGCAAACACTGAATCACATGTGTTAGGTACTAGGAATACAAAGAGTAAGACAATAACTTCCCCAATAGAGTTCAGTCTAAAAAAACGGTGGAATAATCAATCATGTCTACACACTAAAAACAATATTACAGTTGAACTCTGATGGCCTGTATGCCTCACACATGCTTCCTAGAGAAGCCACTTCAGCTGAGTCACCAAGTATGAATAAAGAATTTAGGAGGAGATGGGGGTGGGGCAAGAAGAGATTCTCTGTATAAGCAAAGGCACTGAAGAAAGATCAAGAGAACATGATTCTGGGAAGGATCAACTAGAAGTGTTACAACTACAGCAGCATTTCCCGTGAGATGTTAATATGTATTACAATAATAAAGACAGCAATAGTTTTTCTTTTTCTTTTTTTTCAAGACATAGTTTTGCCAGGCGCGGTGGCTCACACCTGTAATCCTAGCACTTTGGGAGGCTGAGGTGGGTGGATCACCTAAGGTCAGGAGTTCAAGACCAGCCTGGCCATCATGGTAAAATCCCATCTTTAAATTAAAAAAAAGGAAAAGACATAGTTTTACTCTTGCTGCCCAGGGTGTAGTGCAGTGATGCAATCTCAGCTCACTGCAAACTCTGCCTCCCGGGTTCAAGAAATACTCCTGCCTCAGCCTCCTGAGTAGCTGGGATTACAGGTGCCTGGCACCACACTTGGCTGATTTTTTTTGGGGGGGGGGTATTTTTAGTAGAGATGGGGTTTTACCTTGTTGGCCAGGCTGGTATCAAACTCCTGACCTTACGTGATCCACCCGCCTTGGCCTCCCAAAGTGCTGGGATTACAGGCTTGAGCCACCGCACCCAGCCTCTTTTTCCTTTTCTCAGACAGAATCTCACTCTTTCGGCCCAGGTTGGAGTGCAGTGGCTCAATCTGGGCCCACTGCAACCTCCGCCTCCCGAGTTCAAGTAATTCTATTACCTCAGCCTCCTGAGTAGCTGAGATTACTTACAGGCACCCACCACTACACCAGATGATTTTTGTATTTTTAGTACAGTCGGGGTTTCACCATGTTGGAAAGCTGGTCTCTAACTCTTGACCTAAGTGATCCACCTGCCTTGGCCTCCCAAAGGGCTGGGATTATAGGCATGAGCCACCACACCCAGCCAATTTTATCACTTTTAATACATTTAAGAAAGACTACATATTTCTGTAGTTTTAAAGCAGTAATTTGCCTCAAGAAACTTGAACACTAGAAAGCAAATGGCGCCTACATTTGACTTTCCATCTGTGTTATAAGGTATAAACAGCATTTAGTCTCCAGCATTATTGGCTATTTGACCATCACAGATCTATCCTGTGTTTCTTATAATTCAATGTCTCTTTGAGAAGTTATTTAATTGGAGCTTATTAAATATTTCTAGTATGTAAACCCATTCCCTATTGACTTATATCTAGGAGGAAGACATTTTAAATGGAAAAGAGTCCTTTGATTCTTAAGCCCAAGAAGTCATATTATTTTAAAATAAACACGAGCAAAGGACAGGCATCTATTTTTCAGAAAAATTAGGGTGACCTATCCATGATGGGACAATTAATGTCAGCAGCAACCTAATTGCCTAAATATTGCAAAATATGCAGTCTGTATTCTTCCTTTCTCTACAATGCATCTGCTTGAAACCAACTTTCATATTATACTGTAACAAAAACAATATACAGTAAGACATTTAAAGGGGCACCTGATGAAGATGGCTTTTATTACACAAGAAAAATACTGTTCTTAAAACTGTTACTCTATAGCAAAGAATGACAGATGTTTTATAATCATGTTGCTTTAAAGAAAAAAAAGAATGACAGATGTTTCATCTTGATAGTTAATAATTTAATATTGTGATATATTTTGATTATATATTTTAATTAATTTATCTGAGATCAGGCCAGGCATGGTGGCTCACACCTGTAATCCCAGCACTCTGGGAGGCTAAGGTGGGTGGATCACTTGAGACCAGGAATTCAAGTCCCGCCTAGCCAACATGGTAAAACATACTAAAAATACAAAAATTAGCCAGGCATGGTGGTACATGCCTGTAATTCCAGCTCCTTTTCTTGGGAGGCTGAGGCAAGAGAACTGTTTGAGCCCGATGGCTGCAGTGAGCTGAGATCACACCACTGCAATCCAGCCTGGGCGACAGAGTAAGACTCTGTCTCAAAAAAAAAAAAAAATTAAAAAATAAATAATAATAATTTATCTGAGATAATTTGTGCTTTTTTTTTAAGACACAGGCTCTCGTTCTGTGGCCCAGGCTGGAATGCAGTGGCATGATCACAGCTCACCACAGCCTCAATTCGAACTCCTGGACTCAAGCAATCCTCCCGCCTTGGTATCTTGAGTAGCTGGGACTACAGGCACATGCCACCGCACCTAGCCCATTTGTTTAATTTTTTGTAGAGACATATTGCCCAGGCTGGTCTTGAACTCCTGAGCTCAAGTAATCCTCCTGCCTCAGTCTCCCAAAGTGCTGGAATTACAGGCATGAGCCACCATATCTGGCCAGTGCTGTCAATTTTAATACAAGTATGCATGATTTCATACACTTTTGCTTGTATTCCCCATCAATAATATTACTTTGATAAGCATTCTAATAAAGCTGGGGAAAACCAAATATGAGGAAGAAGAAAGCAGTTTATCAGAAGCCAAAGGAAATGAGTGAAAACCATGTTGTTAGGAAAGTTAAACAAAAACTGAGGTATCCACTGAATGTGGCAATTAAGTAATCATTAGTGACCTTATTAAATAGTTCCTGAACAGTGAACAGACTATTCTCTCAAGAATTCTGGCACTGAAATGTCAGAGATGGGAAGGATAAAGATGAGGAAGGAAGTAGCTCTTACGGGGGAAGGGAAGTTCAAAAAGTTATTTTAGGGCTGGGTGTGGTGGCTCGTGCCTATAATCATAGCACTTTGAGAGGCTGAGGCAGGTGGATTACCTGAGGTCAGGAGTTCAAGATCAGCCTGCCCAACATGGTGAAACCTCAACTCTACTAAAAATACAAAGATTAGGTGGGTGTCTCTAATCCCAGCTATTCAGAAGGCTGAGGCAGGAGAATCGTCTGAACCCAGGAGGAGGAAGAGGTTGCAGTGAGCCCAGATTGCACTACTGCACTCCAGCCTGGGCAACAGAGTGAGACCCCCACCTCAAAAAAAAAAAAAAAAAGTTCTTTTACTGTTTTTTTCTTTTTTTAAATGAGGGAAAACCTTTGATAAGTTTGGATGCTAAGAGGAGGTAGTGGAGAAGAGACTGGAAATAAGAAAACAAGGACAATTACTAGAGAGAAGAGAGGTGAGGGGAGGGGAGGGGTAAGAAGGAGGGGAGGAGAGAGAAAGAAAGAAATAGAATGGAGGCCAAGCACGGTGGCCCACGCCTGTAATCCCAGCACTTTGGGAGGCCAAGGCGGGTGGATCACGAGGTCAAGAGATCGAGACCATCCTGGCAACATGGTGAAACCCCATCTCTACTAAAAATACAAAAAATTAGCTGGGCATGGTGGCGCAGCCTGTAGTCCCAGCTACTCAGGAGGCTGAGGTAGGAGAATTGCTTGAACCCAGGAGACGGAGGATGCAGTGGGCCGAGATCACGCCATTGTACTCCAGCCTGGGTAACAAGCGAAACTTGGTCTCAAAAACATATAAATAAATAAAATACAAAAAAATTAACTGGGCATGGTGGCGCGTGCCTGTAATCCCAGATACTCAGGAGGCTGAGGGAGGAGAATTGCCTGAACCCAGGAGGCGGAGGTTGCAGTGAGCCGAGATCGCACCAATGCACTCCAGCCTGGGTAACAAGAGCGAAACTCCATCTCAAAAAAAAAAAAGATTTCTATTTTCTCTGCAGGACAGGTCCTCTGGCCATCTGCTGAGATTAAAATAATGTTTAAGATGGTAGGATAGTGGTTTTTAGTCTTTTTAGAGATTAAAAACCCATATTGAAGCTGCTGTGCCTATGGAGTAGCCATTCTTTATTCCTTTACTTTCCTAATAACTTGCTTTCACTTAAAAAAAAAATCCATCTGACTCTGATGAAAGATATATACAGAAGCCGGGGGGCAGTGGCTCACCCCTGTAATCCCAACACTTTGGGAGGCCAAGGCAGGTGATCACTAGAGGTCAGGAGTTCAAGATCAGCCTGGCTAACATAGTGAAACCCTAACTTTACTAAAAATACAAAAATTAGCTGGGCATGGTAGCATGTACATGGTCCCAGCTACTCGGTAGGCTGAGGCAGGAGAACTGCTTGAACCTGGGAGGCGGAGGTTGCAATGAGCCAAGATTGCACCACTGCACTACAGCCTGGGTGACAGAGCGAGACTGTTTCAACAACAAAAGGGGTGGGGGGGGGGGGCAGGGAACAGAACACCAAATTTGCATAGTTGTTGTTACATGTGGGGTTTTTTTTGTTTTTGACACAGGATCTGGCTCTGCTGCCCAGCTGGAGTGCATCACAGCTCACTGTAGCCTTGACCTTCTAGGCTCGAGTGATCCTCCTGAGTAGCTAGGACTACAGACACACATCACCATGCCCAGCTAATTTTGTTTTGCTTTTGTAAAGACAGGATCTCCCATTATGGACCAAGCTGGTCTTGAACTACTGGGTTCAAGCAATCCTCCCACCTTGGCCTCCCCAAAGTGATTACAGGCATGAGCCTAAATTTGCAGTTTTAAGAGGACTCATGAGCAAACTTGCCAACCATATAAAGGGAAGCTGAGAAAGATCTTCAGGTTCCAGGACATAGTTTAAATATCCAACTGTTTAAACAAAAGAAAAAAGGCTGCCTCCTCTGGATTAACATACCTAACAGTTATGTAAGAATAACACATGGCTTGCCAGAAAATACACTGGATATAGTCAAGAAATCCAGGTTCTCAATTCAGACCTAGTCTTATCTAGTAGGTCACATGGCCTTTCCAGACAGCAGCCCTGAGATGTGCTGCAGTGCTAACATTTTATGATTCTATTACCTGAAATCTCACTTGACTCTGCAGACAGAAGAACAAATA